TTTTCACCCCCTTGGGGAATTTTTTTTTTTTTTTTTTTTTTTTTTTTTCTTTCTTTTTTTTCTTTCCCGGTTTTTTTTTGTTTTGCCCTTCCCCTTCCCCCCCCCTTCCCCCCAAGTTTTTAAAAAACCCTTTTTTCCCTTTCTTCTTTTTTGTTTTTCCCAAACCCTTTCCCTTTTTTTTTTTAGGTGAAAACTTCGGCCCCAGAGCCCCCCCCCCCGTTGTTCCGGGGAAATTCCGGCGTGTTCCTTCCCGGTTTTGTGGGGATGGGGGGTAAATGTTTTAAGGATTCCGGCATCCAGGATTTGGGGTCCCCCCCCCCCCCCCCGCCAACATTTACCAGCCAAGCTCTCAGGTGTTTTTGTCTCCTCTCACACACGTCCTCTCTCGGTGGCGGCGATGCTAGTTTTTTGTTTTTCTTAAAACATTTATTTATTTATTTTTCTTGCAGGTGCTACAGCCGTTGGATGCCTTGCTCGACGCGGAGGAGTCCCTGCTGTACACGGCCGACATCAACATGGGCAGTTCCTACACCCCCGTGATGCCGGTGCAGGGAGGATTTCTCGTCGTGCGCCCGGATCCCGAGGTGTTCCAAGACCTCGTCCAGGTGCCGCCGCCGCCGCCGCCACCGCTGCCGCTGCCGCGGTTTGATGTGGTCATGGTTTTCGTTATTTGTTTCCCGTTGTTGTTGTTATTGTTGTGGATGTATTGCGTCCCCCAAAGTGAAAAATGCCCAGAAACAAACACAAAACGCACCCAACCTACCAAGTACGAGACGACAACACAACGGAGGTTCTGTAGTAGTAGTAGTAGTAGTTATTGTTGTCGTTGCTGTTTGTTGCTGCTATTGGGATCCCGGTACACAAAGGGTCTTCTCGTGCGGTCGTGCCAGTCTGGCCCAATCTCCGCAAAACCCTCCAAAGACACGCCGCCGGTGCCCTTCTAGGACACAGCTCATTCACGCCAAAACACATGCCACTTTGCGGAGCCTGGGTAGGCGTGCCCTGATTTCATTCTTGCCCGTCGTACTGACCGGTGCGGCATAGCCAAGAGATGGGGATGGGGGTGGGTCAATCCCGGTCAAGTGTAACTAACGTTTTCCAGGCCCACAACTATGGAGCAATTCCAAGGTTTTGGTGGCCTGTCCTCGTCAGCTGGAGCTTGCGCAGCTTTCGATGAACCCCGTGCACGATGTTCGGACTGTCCCCCTTTCCGTATGCGTGCATGCACGCGTATTTCAGACATTTGGTTGAGCTCCAAAAGCCGCAGGTATTGGGTGCGGTTTGCCTTTCTACACGTTGCTGTTCATGTTCGACGCACTTACCGGGGTTACTCAGGAGGGGAGAATTCTCCATGGTTCCCTTGTGCACAAGAAGTTCCGGTCTAGTGGAGAAAAAAACGGCGTTGTTGTTCACTTCTCAACAACATATGCGAGGTTTCCAAGTTGCCCTTATTGTTTTGGAGTCTCTCATGTTGTTTTTGTGAAACGGTGTGCAGGAGGTTAGGGGTTCTGCATTGGCAAACCACTGGGGGGGGGGGGGGGGGCACACCCCGACCCCGCGCTTTGCACGCCTGCCCTCCTTTGCCTTTTTTTTTTTATCCCCCGCCAGATCGTCAAGAGGACCTCCTTCTATCCGTCGAAAGGGTGGGGGGGCAGCATGATCGGTCTTTTCTGGGGAGGCGTCAACGTGCAGGGGATTCTGCCGTACTACTACGAGGTGTCCCGTCCCGGTGGAAGGGAGTCGAACCGTGGATTATCTGATGGTCCTGGTTGTTGTTGTTGTTGTTGTTGTCAGGCCAGGTAGTCTTTCCCCTTCTCTGTCCGTCTGCCTCTCTCTGCCCCTCCCTGCCTCTGTTTTCTGTCTTGTCTCTTCCCCCCCGCCGGCCCCTCCCTGCCATACACGTAATGACATTTCCCCGCTGTTCCTTTGCTTGCTGACGGTGTAGCGACGCAGCAGTTTCAAACAACTAATTTTGTGTTCGTGGGTCGATGTTGTTCTTCATTCCGTCTGTTTTCCCTTGCGCTTCTTGTTGCGCTATCCTGGGCCGCCTCCTCCCATTTGTTCGGCGACGTCCTTCGTATCAAAAGGTCAAACCTTTGCACAAGGCCATGTCTACTACTTTGGCTATGTGTGCCAACCCCTGGCAACCCATCATGCACACGTTGGACGCGACCTCCACAATTTCGCTGCCGGGACGACCCCTTCTGTGTGTGTGTTGAGGCCCGAGGTTAACGATCTCATGACGGAGCCCTTGCCAACAAGTAAGCACCAATCCTCTCTTTCCTGCGCCCCCTTTCTTCAACCCCCGCTCCCCACCCCCGCCTTTGGTTTGGTTTGGTCTGGCCACACAACTTGGCTTAGCGCCGGGCTCCTGCGGGCGTCTTGTACAGATCGGTGGACCGGAGCGTGTACAACAACATGGTCGACAGGCCCAGCTGCCAGGCTGTCGACATTTCTCAAGTCAGGCAAGAGGCGCCGCCGTACTGACGTTTCCCTAGCCGACTTGTACCCGTAAGTCTCGAGCCGACAATGCTGCGATAGTGCGGAGGGCGGCGCCGGTTGCGAAGGAAAAGGGGGCTGGGCTTCCTGCAGTGTCGCAACTCGCCGGAGCTCTCCCACCTCCGCTACCGTAGCTTTGTCAGGGCACGAATCTATCTACCCAGACGAGCGCGTCGATAGGGGTCGTTGTCTCAATGCTCCCTGTGCGCCAGAGACATGTGTGTGTGTGTGTGGGGGGGTATACTCATAGTCGTGCATGCCAGAGTCGTTATACCATTGACCTCGCATCCCTACAAAGCTGGGACGGAGCTCGCCGGGGTCTCACCGGACCAGGCTCTCACATCACCAAGCGCGAAGCGCCGTGAGGTATTCGGCGAGTCGCATAAAGGGTGCGCTGCATCCTGCTAAGGGTGTTCGGCATCTTGTGCTTACTTCCTTGCGTACGGATGACAGCTGCGTATGACTTAATTTATTTTCTGGTGCTTTCACTTCCAGAGACAGTTATAAGCGCTGGGTAACTGCCTCGAGGATGCTTTACCAATTAAACACAACGTGGTGCGATCATCCCCCTTGCGCGGAGTGAGGGTTCTCGACCCCGCACAGCATGATCTACTCGACCACCATTTATGGTCACCGCCAAAAAAAAACAGACGTAAAAAAAAACCCCGGCAACCTGGTTGCCGAGTTCACGAAGTGAATTGGCTTGTTTTACAACGTCGTTGCCAAGGCGACAAAACCCAACCCTGATGGCAAACACCGGGGGCGGCGGCTTGTTTTACAACGTCATTGTCAAGCGACGAAAACCCAACCGCGATGGCAAACACCGGGAGGGGGGCGGGGGTGGGGGTGTTTACTCTCCAGCAGCCTTCGTGGGAGGTTTCGATTAACTAAACATGTTGGATGAAGCATTGCAATCGGGGAAGTTGGGTTTGGGTTAGGGGGTAGGGATAGGGTCTACACCCCCCCTGTTCTCTTTCCTCATTAACTTTACTTATCGCGAGGCGGTCCTTACTCTCTCGCTCCATGTACGTGATAGTGTTTTCTTGAAAATTGTTGTCCTTGTTGTTGGTTAGACCACGGACCTGGCTATGTATGCCCCTTCGCATCTCAACCCGCTCCGCCCCGTTGTTGTTGCTGTGGTCGCAAGAGGCCGCAATCTCCTATTTGTTGGCCAAATAAACCTCTGTTGGGGCTTTTTTTTGCAGACCCCCGCGAGTCGTGTACTTAACAAAAGTTTATGCGGTATGCTCCCAAACATTGGTGTGCACCCGGCATCCTCCCGTACTTTCTTGCCCCTTGTCCTGGTGTTGCGGTGGCACATTTTTTTTGTGTCGTCTACACACACGCCGTGCTTGCCTCGCACCATGTCTTTTGCTTTCATAAGCACCCCGTCTCTCGTTTCCCATGAACGTTACCGTTCCCCTCTCTCTTGTGCCCTTCCAGGAGTGCCCACTTCACCAATTGCCAGAAGCCGTGGGAGTGCCTGTACCCACATCCGAAGCAACCGCTTTGCTCACGCCTGGCGGAGCGATGGTTCGAGATGCGAACCCTGGTAAGGGTTAAGATTGGTCGTGTCGAGCATTCTTCTTGTTCTTCCTGTTGTTGTTGTTCTTCCTGTTGTTGTTGTTGTTGTTGTTGTTGTTGTTGTTGTTGTTGTTGTTGTTGTTGTTGTTGTTGTTGTTGTTGTTGTTGTTGTTGTTGTTGTTGTTGTTGTTGTTGTTGTTGTTGTTGTTGTTGTTGTTGTTGTTGTTGTTGTTGTTGTTGTTGTTGTTGTTGATGTTGTCGTTGTTGTTGTTGTTGTTGGTTGTTGTTGTTGTTG